GAAGGCTGCTGGTACTCCATGGAACTTACTGGTTTTCATGCTTTGCAGGTCCATGTTGGCAATGATGAGTTCATGCACCTGCGGGTGTTCAGAAGCCTTCCTCACGACAATAAGCCACTGAGTCTCCACAGTTACCAGAGCAGCAAGACTAAGCATGACGAACTGGCTTTTTTCTAGCAAGCTTATCTTGTCCGTTTTCCTAATGGTTTCTTATGTGCATTTTCTATAGGCTGCAAAATGTTGATTCCTGTGCCAACAAAGGAGAAAAGAAAGTGTCTTTTTTTAAACTTAATGCTGGAAAAAATCAATTGCTTTTATGCCATTCCCTTCCTGTGCAATATCTAAATTTTAGAGTCACATGGCTCTCCTTTCACCTCCACTAACGCAAACCCAAGTAGCTGCACTGACTTCAGTGCAGCTGAAGCACGGAATACCGTGGCTGAGTCCTGTTTATGGACTTCCTTGGTCTGGAAATTGAAAGGGGAGTGATGCTCATGTATTTGCAGCAAGGAGCAAGAGGAAAACCTGAATCTTTTCTGTGCTGTTTTGCAACTGTGAATATATCTGTAGATTTAAATTGTACTATGTATTTTATTCGCAAAGACCTGAAAAGAGATTTGAGCTGAAGTGATTTTGAAAGCAAGAGAAAGAGGATTGTAGTCTTTTGAAACAAACATTCCCTTGGTAATCATGTTTATCCTCTTGCAGCAGTAGGATATAATGTCCAGTAGAGGGTGTATGAGTTTAAAAAAAAAAACAACTTGCTTATTTTCTCAGTCCTAAGGAAGAGTCCTGGAAAGGAACTTAAGCTGGACAAGCATTTCTGCATTAATAACAATAAATATTTCTCTTGAATTGAGACGGCATATTGGACTGGTGTTTCACTGCTCTCTTTACTGGTGTTCAGTATTGGTTATGTTGCTCAGAGTTTTTTTTACTTGAGTGTTTTTCATATTCCAGATAACCTTATCTTTATTCTAGGTTTTGATTAGAAATACTTTATTTTAATCTGGTGAGGGACAAGAAAGGCTTCTGCAGGTGTATCTGCAGCAAAAGGAACACTGAGGAAAATGTGGGCCCTCTGTGTGTAGTGGAGCAGGGGACCTGCTGACAGAGGACACAGAAATAGCTGAGGCACTCAGTGCTGCCTTTGTCTCTGCCTTTACGGGTAGGACTTGCCTTCAGGAATTCGAGGTCCCTAAGACGAGTGGGAAAGTCTGGAGAAAGGAAGATTTCCCTCAGCAGAGCTGGATCAGGTTAGGGGAACACTTAGACAAACTGGACTTAAACAATGCCATGACACTTGAGGGGATGCACCCGTGGATGCCTAGGGAGCTGGCCGGTGCACAACTCGGTACCCTTTGAAAGGTGATGGGCATCGGGGGAGGTTCCTGAGGGCTGGAAGAAAGAAAATGTCACTCCTGTGTTCAAGAAGGGCAAGAAGGAGAGTCTGGAGCACTACGGGCTCATCAGCTTCACCTCAGTCCCTGGAAAGGTGATAGAGCAAATAATCCTTGAAGCCATTTCCAAACACATTAAGGACAAGAAGGTGAGTGAAAAGTAGTCAGCATGGATTTACAAAGGGGAAATCATCCTTAATATGACTGATAGCCTGCTATGGTGGGATAAATATCTTGGCAGAGGAGAGAAGAGCTGTGGATGTTATTTACCTTGACTTTAGTAAGGCTTTTGACTGTCTTCCCTAACATCCTCATAGACAAACTGATTACATATGTGCTAGATAAGCGGACTGCAAACTAGCTGAACTGCTGTGCTCAAAAAGTTCAGCAGCATGTAGTCCAGCTAGAGGTCAGTCCCGAGTGGTGTACCCTAGGGGTCAATACTGGGACCGATACTGTGTAACATCTTCATTAATGACCTGGATGATGGGACTGAGCACGCCCTGAGCGGGTTTGCAGATGACACAGAACCAAGGGGAGTGGCTGATACACCGGATGGCTGTGCCGTCATTCAGAGGGATGTCAACAGGCTGGAGAGATGAGCAGACGGGCATCTCCAACTGTCAACAAATGGAGACGCACAGTCCTGCACCTGGGAAGGAGCAACCTGTACAGGCTGGGCCTGCCTGGCTGGAAAGCAGCTCTGCTGGGAGCTGCTCTGCTGGCAGCTCTTCTGGGAGTTGTCCTGTTGGACACCTTGCAGCGAAGGTGGACAGGGATACCCGTGGGCTGCATTAGGAAGAGCATTGCCAGCAGATTGAGAGGCCATTCTCCACACACACACACCCCCCGCCCCATTCAGCACCGATGAGACCACAGCTGTTCTGGGCTCCCCAGTACAAGGCAGATGTGGATGTACCAGAGCGTGTCCAGCAAAGGGCCACCAAGACAATTAAGTGATTGGAGCATCTGACTTCAAAGGAGAGGCTGAGAGAGCTGGGGTTGTTCAGCCCTGGGAGGACAAAGTGAAGGGGGAGGCAGTGAAGAGCCAGGCTCCTCTCAGTAGTGCTCAGGGCAGTAAAAGGGCAAGAGGCGCTATCCACAAATTGAAATATGTAAATTCCATGTGTATATGGGGGGGGACACACATGGACACAACAAAAAAACAACCCCTTTTTTTCCCTTTAACAATTACAAGGGTGATCAAACAGAGGAGGCGCCATCAATGGAGAGCACTAAAATTCTGACTGCAGATGGTCCTTAGCCACCTGTTTTAGTTGACCTTGCTCTGAGCGGAGGGGTTGGACACTATGATTTCCAGCAGACCCTTCCAACTACAACCAGGATGTTTTGTTGTTGGGTTTTTTTAACTTGTGTCTTTAAGTATTACTATTTATACCTGCTCAGAAAATTTTGTAGCCAAGCTTGGAAATTTTGATGTTTGCCTTGTGTAATTAATTTGGGAGTTGGACAGGGGTTGCTGCACTCTAAACTGAGGGGAAGCAGCCCACTTCTAGCTGACACTGCTGCATGGCCTTGGCCACCGACAGAGGAAACAACAAGCAGCTTTGGGAGGAGAGGGCATGGTGAACTTAGATGCGTGTTACTGGGCTTTTTTGTTGCAGGTGTGCTCTGTGTAGGTGTGTAACCAGCATTGCTTAGGAGGAGCATGTTCTCTTGATTAGTGGGGGGGCTTACATGCTTCTGCTCGTATCAGCCCAGAGAGTCCTCCCCCCTGGCCTCACACACTCTCTCTCTCTCCCTCTCTTTCTCCATCTCCCCCCTCCCCCGCCCCAGCGGAATAAATGGAGGGAGAAAGTCTGGCTTACTATGGCACTTCCTGTTTTGCTAAAAGTGGTTTTGCAGACACAGGGTCTTTTTTGGTGCTGGTAACTCCCCACTCTGAGGTGTTTTCATGGTTCAAAAAGCTGAGCATTTTTCCCCAAACGCTACTCTTGTGAGGGGATGTTAGTTAGTGGTGATAATGCCAGACTTGCTGCATCTTAAAAGATTTGTAATGTTAAGACTGCAGGATTGCACTCTTGTGGAAACTGTATTAGATGCACAAGGGAAGGACCACTCCCAAAGTCACAGGAGGCCACAGGCTGTCTTCACACTTTGAGGAATTAAAGCATCTGATCCAGGATATAAAGCATCCAGGAATTAAAGCATCTGATCCATTTCTCTGGCATGCAGAGAAATGGGCAGCTGCCACATTTTTCTAGGCACTATATGCCTGTGACAATTACAGACCCATCCTTCACTACAGCACCAAAACATGAATACAAGCAAGGCATGGCCTGAAAACCATTTACGCATTTAACGATGTCTTGCACCTGAGCCCCAGCTCCCTGGCAGGTAATGCAAAGGTCCCTACCTGAGCAGCTGCTAACAGAAAAGCGTTTTTGTTGTGGATTGGGCTTGCCCTCTATTTTGTCAGCTCAGAGCTCAGCTGAAGACTGCTCTCATTGCACATGGCTGATGCTACCAAAAAAAAAAAAAGGGAATGAGCTCCACAGGTCTCCAGTAAAGTACACTCTCAAAGTCAGGGCGGTCGCTCCCTGCTCCAGCGGCTGAGTGCTGGGATTCAGCTGTCTCAGCTGTGGCTAGGGGCCTGTCCTCCCACTCCTTCAAGAAGCTCATTCCTGCCCCCCACCCTGCTTCCCATACAGCGAAGCTGCACTTAGAGGAGGACAGTTTGGCTTCTCAATTCCCCCGTGCCAGAAATTATTTATTTATTTATTTATTTATCTATCTATCTATCTCCCAGACTGAGGAGTGGCCAATAGCTTGTATTTAACGCACTTAAAGCAAACCCAAGAAGCCACACACTGAAGTACGTAGCCTGTTAAGCCTGAAGTATACTCAGGAGGCCCAACTTCTGTCTTCAGAGGATGCTTGACAGTGTTTTGGAAAGAGGAGCTGAAATGGGTGTGCTCTGTATTACAGCTATAGTACCTCAGGTGGCAGAAACAGCCTTGAACAGTATTTCAGAGCCTACTCGAGCTTTAGCTAGGCAGCAGACCAAGACATGACACGCAGTAGATTAGATTAACAAATAGCTTTCAAAACTTATTTTAATGCATTTATTGACACAGGCAGAATCCACATGCGACTTGCAGAAGTGAGGCACCATTCCTTGTCATCTCTCAGAAGTAGGTCAGAGGATCATCTCTGGTTTTGCCAGTCTGAAAACTGACAAGGCTGGGACCTTGGTTCTCATGAGGAAGGCTCTGAAACACCCTTAAGTGGACATAGTCGGTATCGGAAACTTGGACCTAGAAGCCAAAACAGCAGGAAAGTGAGGATCATTGGTTCAAAGCAGGTTCAAACAAAAGGATGCTCTTTACAGACTTGGAAGAATATCTTTGCTCAGGAGCTTAATTTTAGGTGTATCTCCATTTTTACTTCAACAGCTCTTAACCCAAGTCTGGATAGTAACCGGTGGCAGAAACTGTCTACACCTGAAAAGAACTGTAATATAAGCCTTCAGATGCATGTGAATGGAAAATGAGTAAGACTGCTTGGGCACCAGAAGGCACAATGGGAGAAAGGTTTTGATGGCATCCTATTTAGGTCATCAAGATCCCAGCACATCAGCTTACAGCTTCTTGGGACACTCAGGAGAAGACAAGAGACAGTGAGTAAATCTTAATGACTCAGGGGTGGGGCAAGATGCAGAGACAGTGTCAGCTCCTAGAAGGTACAGAAAGATCCATCCAAAACCAGCACATGGTCCTAAGAAGCAACGACAACCTGAAAGCCAGGATCCCTTGTCTTCAGACTTACTGCAAACACATCAGCGCCTGAACAGACAACTTGACACGTCTTGGTGCTTGTGGGAGTGTGAGTGGCTGTAAACTCACCTTCTCCTCCAGAAAGTCCCCACATAAAGACTTGCTACGAAGTTGTGCATAATTCGTACATGCAGAGCCAAGTGCAACAGGTGCTACACTCTCACTGTGTGAGGTATATAGTAGTAACGGAAAGTTTAATGCCTTTAAGGCTCTGCATGAGCCTTAGTTCAAGCTAGGTTTCTGCATGCTTTTTGGTGGCTGCAACGTGGCACTATGTTTGTCTTGGTCTGGATTACACCTTGGCTATAAGTCTGTTGGTAAAATATTAGTGATGTGGAAAATTCAGAAGTATAAAAGAATGAATCTTGCGACAGAGCTTATTCCAGTTAATGCTAAAATGAATAAGTGTTTCCTGTCACTTGCAAGATTGGGTAAGAAGAGACAAATCATCTGTTTTCATAAATGGATTTCTTCACAGTTCAGTAACACATCAATCTTCATTTCTGAGTAGTTTGGTCATGAGGCTTAGCAAGGACAGCAGACAAGTATTTGACATTGCCTAGGACAGCAAGCGGTAACATGGCACTAAGGGAAGAAACGCAACTGGGTGTGACTTCTGGCTTTACTGCAGCCTTCCTGTAAATTGTTACTCTTCATTACTCAGCACCTTGTCCACAAAGTGAAAGCACATCTCACAGGAGCAAGGGAAGGATAAACATCATTCATGTAAGCGAGACTCAGACTAGCCATATGACAACAGGTAGTCTGTCAGTACAATCCCCTGGTGCCCACAGAGCAGAAGTAACTGTTAAGAGTTATTTTAAGGAAGGACACCTGGGAAAGAAGGCGGCTTGGCAGTGTCTGTCCTTCCTGGGATCAACTAAATACGAGAAGCGTGGAGCAAATGCTCATAATGTCTCTCTGCAGAATTACTATCCCCCAAACCCTACCTGCCAATTTCTTTAGTAAAAAGATTCCGACCCTTGTCAAGGGAGCATATCCTACCGGGCATACGTCTGCACACATATGGGGTTAAGATACAGCAGCCACATGCAATGTTTGCTCTACTTCCAGAAAGCCAGCCTGCCACTACGCAATGCTTTCCAGCCTTCACTTGCAAAATATGCTCAGCAATTGCTTATGTGTTACTTCACGGAAAGCTGCTCAAATTCATGGGTAAGGTTTTCTAGTAGAGGATGGATGGTGCTATCAGAAGGCTCCAAATTAAGCATTACCCGTTTTTCCTCCGCAACAGAAAGGGGGTTCTGAAAATACAGAAAGAACTAGCAGGCAGGCTGTACCTCTGCAGCTCATGACATAGAACCAAAACATCAACACACACGCTTGCATGCAAAACTAGTCAGCAGAGTATGAGATGCTTGCATTAAGTTTTTTTAGAATTAAATTAAATTTACTCTAACCCTCCATCAGATCCTCAGGCTGACTTCAAATTCATCATAATAAACACAACTGGAGGACACAGAGGCAATAGGAAAGCTACTTTGCCTTGAAAGAAGACAGGAGAGCAGAGTTATGACTAGCTCAAATAATTTGAGCTGATAAGGCAATCTATAGTCTCTGAGTGAGATGATCCTAAGAAAGTTATCATTCATATCTGAAGAAGCACAGTGCACATTTTATAAGTTTTTATATTCCTGTTCTACAGTGGTGCCAAACAGAGAAATTTTATAAGCACCTGGAGATAGTCCCTAACTCTGTTAGTCACATCAGATGGTTTTCTACTACATTTGCTTCTCTTTCTTGTTATAAGCCACTATGCAAGTCACCTATATTGTTGAACTACAAAGCACTCCTTCCTATAATATATACAAACCTTAATGAAGTAGTTTATCCCAGCAACCACCTGAGTCTTATATACTATGGCTTTAAAGATGCCGTATGTCCTGTTTTCCCTGCTTTCAAATTGTGGCTTCACCTGTAAAAAGAAAGGGAAGAATAGTTGGCAGATTCATATTTAAGTTTTTCCTTCACATCTACCACTCCAATTTTCATCCTTTCAAACACACACCCTTAACGAAATAAATCCAGAACCCCCAAAATAATTCAATTTACACCAAGACCTCCAGCCCTCTTTCTTAGCATTGCCTCCAGCATTCTTTAAAATCTTGTTAGAATTAGACCACGTAGTTGATTTCCCCCCACCCCGAAAGCTGTCCAGCTAAACTGTCTCCTGCTCAGTATAGGGAAACTGCTACCTGCTGCCCTTTTAGTTCTTTGTCAAAGTAGCTAGGTACCAAGCCATGCTCCCCATGTCAACCACACTGTTACACAGTGGTGCAAGTCAGCCCCCCTCGCCTCGAACACTTCTGCCCATGCCAGTCAGCCTGGGAGGCTGCAGACCCCTGTTGTGTTTCACAGCCTCAGAGCTGCACTTGATCTATTTAATGTTTTTAAGGACTTAAAACAAACAGGGTTATTTCAGAGTATCAAGACAACCACCTGATCGAGTAGTTCCTGAAAGTTATCCTAGTGCTGGTGGAAGCCCTGCAGCTAAAGCTGTAATTTAAACTACATACGCCCTTCAACATCTAGAACCACGCAACATACAAACAACTGTAATAGTTACAATGGTCCAGGACTAAACTATGTTCTTCCATCTCCAAAACTGGAAGTATGACCTTTAAACTGTGAGCCAGAAATCAACCCCAGACCTGCATAAACATCATCAGTCCTTCACTGTGTAGTAGCTGCAGGTAATGTCGTTCCAGAAGAAACAACGCTCTGTGCTGACAGCATTCACACTCACAGCTCAGGTAGATGTGTTTATGCACAGTACCCAGTTTAAGCCCTGTGGATCTTAAAATAACGCACAGTTCAGATATCTACAGACTTTTCACATACCTATTTAAAAAAAAAAAGAAAAGGTATAACAGTTTTTCCTGAAACACACAAA